TGGGCAACCGCAGACTAAGCAGACAAAGCCTCTCTCTCCTCCCATTTTATATTCCCTCTGCTGGGATTAAAGCGGTGTGACTCTCAAGTACTAGGATTAAAGGGGTGAGGCACAAACATCGGGACTTGTTTCTGCACTGATCTTGTGTAGCCCATGGTGGCCATGAACTCACAGAGATCCATCTACCTTGGTCTTGCAAATCCTGGGGTTAAAGGTGTGTGCCACCACTGCCTGACCTCTAATGGCTTAGCTTTGACCTTCTGATCTTTAGGCAAGCTTTATTAAAACATAAATAAAATATCACTATATGTATATGTATAACTTCATATGCTGTTTTAAATCACAGAAAGCAGTCTCCGAGATGGGATTTGTCCTGTCTATTCCAAACTGAAACTGGCTCCCTCGCTGGCAAGCGGGGCGGGGGCTTTGTGCACATAAAAGCATCTAAGAGGTTAAAAGATGTCTGTAACTGCAGGTGGCTTAGCTCTCTGTGTGCTGTCTTAGTTATAAAAACATCTCCCCCCCCCCCAATTCAAGGTCAATGTCTCTGAAGCTTTTGCTGAAATGCAAATCTTCAGGATCTATAAGACCATGGCAGGGGGGTGGGGGTAAAAAGCTATGAAAAAGTGTGCTTAGAACCCGTAGCAGGAAAGGCTGACAGTTAAAAGTCTGTGTGCAGGTAACCTTAATTTGCTAAATATGCCACGTCCTTGTCACTGTTCTATTACTATGAAGAGACACCATGACCAAGGCAGTTTCTGAAAAGAAAGCATTTAATTGGGGGCCTCGCTTACAGTCTCAGAAGTTTAGCCCACGATCATCTTGGCAGGGAGCAGCGTGGTACCCAGCTGACCTGGTGCTGGAGAAGTAGCTGAGAGCTACTTCCTGATGACCTGCAGGCAGCATAGACAGAGCTGGGTCTGTCTAGCATGGGCTTCTGAAACTTCACAGCCCACCCCCAGTGACTAAGCAGTCACATATATGAGCTTATGGGGGCCAGTTTTTGTTCTTGCTTTTGTTTGCTTGTTTTTCGAGACATGGTTTCTCTGTGTAGCCCTGGCTGCCCTAGAACTAGCTCTGTAGATCAGGCTGGCCTCCACTCATAGAGACTAGCCTGCCTATTGTTTCCTGAGTCTGTCTGTCTGTCTGTCTGTCTGTCTCTCTCTCTCTCTCTCTCTCTCTCTGTGTGTGTGTGTGTGTGTAGGGGGGTAGTCAAAGCCATCTTATGGGGTCCATTCTTATTCAAACCACCACATTCCATTTATGTAACTTGGTTCAACTCTTAAAGGAAATGAAATTTCAAACAACAACAAAATAGCCAGTTATTGTAGCACACACCTTTGACCCAGTGATTGGGGAGACAGAAACAGGTGGATCTCTTTGAGTTCAAGATCAGTCTGGTCTACAAAAAGAGTTCCAGGACAGCTAGGACTATTACACAGAGAAACAGTGTCTTAAAAAATCAAAACCAAAACAGGATAGACAAGAAAAAAATAGTAATGAGGGTAATAAAATGTGAGGTGATATTTGAATTAAAAGGGGCCAAAAGAAAATAGTTTGGATAAGGATGGGTTTTATATGATAAAATTAGATTTTATGATTTAGTAAAATGTATTAAATTTACAATACTCTTGAATGGCAGGACATTCCCAGGCTTAAGTAGGTTCCTTAGGTGTATCATAGACCCCATCAGAGGATGGCATGCTAGCCTTATTACAGGATAAGGAATCATGGGAAATAAGACTTGCCAGAAGTGTGTTGCTCCTGTCTCCAGCTGTGTGGGCCAGACCAGGAAAGCCTCCTTAGCTATAAGATGAATTACTCCTAACGTCTCATATGACAGGGAGATGAGTTCTTTTACCCATATCCTAAATGTCTGAAACAACAGAGGTAAATTACGCTGCACTCAGTGTCTCCCGAACTAACACAGTGCAGTGAACAGGGGAGCCATGTACGGAAACCTGCCACCTGACCGGTATGGGACCTGCGCGCTAGTTCAGGTGGCCATGCCCTTTATCCTGGCTTCAAATTCTCATTCCAAGGCTGAGAGTAATTACTTGATTCTGTATAAAGTTCCCAAGAGAGTTTTAAATAATGTTAAACACTGTGCCGCAGAACTGGTCAGCACGCCAGGCTAACCTATATGGACACCCATCTAAACACTGAGACAAGTGTCATCCTGTGGATCTGTGACACCCCTTTGGACTTCTGGTAATATTGGCCATGTTTCCTATGGGACTAACCCCAATGATTGTATCTAAAAATAATAGCTTTGCAAAAAAAAATTATTGAGTTATTCCTAACTATGTGTCCAAATAATAGTTGGCCCTTACAAATGATACTAGGAACTAGTCCTTGCCTTTTGTAGAAATTGAAGTCTTAGGACTGATCTAATGAAAGCTCAACAAGGTCAGCTGGACTGGGACTGAACGAGCATGTGATCAAACCGGAGTCTCTGAATGTGACTGACAGTGAGGGCGGACTGAGAAGCCAATGATAATGACACCGGATTTTGATTCTACTGCATGGACTGGCTTTTTGGGAGCCTAGTCTGTTTGGATGCATACCTTCCTAGACCTGGATGAAGGGGGGAGAGCTTTGGACTTCCCACAGGGCAGGGCACCCTGACTTCTCTTAGGACTGGAGAGGGAGGGGAAGTGGGGGGAGTGGGAGGGAAATGGGAGGATGGGAGGAGGTGGAAATTTCAAATAAATAAATAAATGAAAAAAATGAAGGCTTAAAAGTAACTAAAAGAAATGAGGAATGAGGTGTCTAGGGTGGTGCTTTCACTCTGACTCCATTTGTGTCTGCTCAAGAACTTGCTCAGAGGGGGCTGGAGAGATGGCTCCGCGGTTAAGAGCATTGCCTTCCAAAGGCCTCTTCCAAAGGTCCTGAGTTCAATTCCCAGCAACCACATGGTGGCTCACAACCATCTGTAATGAGGTCTGGTGCCCTCTTCTGGCCTGTAGGCACACATGTAGACAGAATATTGTATACATAACAAATAAATAAATAAAAGAACTTCCTCAGTTCCTTAGCCCCCTTGAACAGTCACATTCACTTTGGTGGCATGGTCAGGGCATAGCTCAGATACATAACCTAAATATCTGCTGGATGTATCGTCACAACAAGTGTTACCAGGTTCTCCTTGATAATGATGTCATTGTGGTTTTTGTCTTTAAAAATCCTGAGCTTTGGCACCGGGAGTTTATTTGGGGCAAGAACCTACCCTCAGCCAACTTAGTGACACTGCATTGACCTTCCAAGTTTTCCTATCCAAAATATAAATCTTTGCGACAGGAAATACATGTCCATATGCCAATGCTGCCTGTGGATAGCATAAATTGTTTGTAGAGAAAAAGAATGTACAAATACTTGTTCTCCATGCCTGATTCATAGGCCCAGCACTAGCTCAGAATTCCAACAAATATCTCCAGGTGATGTGGAGAAAAACAGCTCAGTGCCTTCCCAAGGGACAGAGAGAATAAGAATAAAATATTCTAATAAGAAATTACTATATCTGCCAGACACCTGGTAAGGCAAACGGGTCAGGAAAACACTCTGACCTTGACCTGACCCCAAGACAAGGGCCAAGGACTTGTAATCCCACCAATACCTCAGCTTGCCCCAGAATCAGGCCACAAAACCCCATCAATCCTAAACCATCCCGGAATGCCCACCCCCAAGAAGTCCTATATAACCTGTGTTCTGTTTAGAGGCAGCTGCCCTCCTGAATATTTGCCTCCCAGTAAATCTCTTCAGTGAGACTTGTGCAGTGTGACAATTGCACCCTGAGCAGAGGCCATCTGGAACAACTTTCGAGGGAGCCAGGGTGGAACTTTAGCACTTTAATGGGAAACTTTCCCCCTAGCAGAGCAGAGCTGTGACCCTTTGCCGGACCTGAGCAGAGCTGTGGAACTCTGCTGGCCAGAGCAGAGTTGTTACACTTGCCCTCTGGAAACCTTTCCCAGAGCAGAGCTGCAAAGCTTACAGTGACTTTGTGGTATCCTTGGCTCCCAACTGCCAGGATACTTTTCCATCCGAGCTCCAAAACTCACAGCACCCCCACTTCTGCTCCCCCTCAAAGCGAAATTTACACATACTACTAGTCCAAGATTAAAACAAGCCTGAACAGATTCAGACCCTAAAAGACTCTGTGGTCAAAAAGATTACCACCATGGCCAGGGAAAGTTATGAATTATTTAATAAATGACCTTGAATTTTTAGCCTAGGGGCGGGAAAAGAACTTAGATCCATATCATGCCATTAATAAAAATAACTTGTAGACGAAGTAAATATATTTAAAGAAAACTGTCAGTGTGATACAGTTTTACAACAGCTGTGAGGAGAAGATGAAACTGGGAAGTCTCAAAAGAAACAAGCATGCTAATGTAGAGTTAAAGCGGTTATAATTGTATAAAGAAAATTTCCAAAAGCCACTGAAACGGCTCGGACAGTAAAGGTGCTTGCCATCAACCCAGATGCTTCAAGTGGGAGCCTCAAGCTCCCACAATATAGAGAAAATCTGACAAAGCACATGGGTTTGAGCATCACTCATGATGCCTGTGAAGTCAACACTGAGAATTGGAGTCCTGCATCTGGAGCTGTTCTGAGCAGTTACATACGGGACACTGGGAGGTGTGTGGTGTGGGGGACAAAACAAAAAGCCAGAGGCCCCACGAGTAGGAAAAGTGCATGGAGCCGCAACGATCGCCATGGCTACCGGCTGAGGATAAAGCTCGGAGAAAAAGAAAAGTTTGCAGAATGCCAAGTAGAAATTACTAGTTTAAACGCCGGTCCGGTCTTTTCCGTTATACACATCAAGGGTGCTCAAAAAGCTCACAATTTCTCCCCTCCGGTAAAACGCTTAAGCTCCTAGGTGACAAGTTCCTTGCGGCGTTGACGGTGGGCAAGACCCAGCTGAAACACAAGCCTCAAGCGTCCGTCTCCTAGAAACCGGGTTCACCCGCCTCCTACTTCCGCTTCCGTGTTCCCGTCACCCCCAGGCTCCACTTCCGATCTTGCGCACCAGGCGGCTGCCATGGCGTCCTCCCGCTTGCCTCCCGGGGCGCTGACGCTGAAGCAGGTAACCCAGGTTCTCCCAGCCCCCAGACCCCCGGCGCCCGCCGGAGCGGTGTCGCCTGTGATCTTTTGAGGCACTGTCCCTGAGACCTGACTCCCCACAGCCACCGCCACCTCGGCGTGCAGCCTCCCGAGGGCCAATTGGTCTGCACTGCCCAAGCAAACCGCCGGGATGAGCTTTGGTTTTTGTCTTGTTCTGTTTAAAGGGACTTTTCTGGTTGCGGGTTGTTTGCTTAGATGGAGCTGGTGGGTATTTAGTTGTAATTTGTTTTTCTCCTTCCCGGAGCAGTTCATGAGAAGACAACAAGTTCTCGTCCTCTACAGAAAGATCTTGCGAGCGATTAGGCAAGTTCCCAGTGAGGCTGACCGAAAGTACCTTCAGGACTGGGCCAGGGAAGAATTCAAAAGGAACAAAAGCGCCACAGAAGAGGTGAGAGCAAGGCCATAACGAGGCTCCTTTGCCCTGTTGTGTTGTTGAACTTGTCAAGTTCTGCGAACATCTTGGGATATGCCGGTAAGGTGGTCCGTTTTGATCACCGCTGAGGCTCTTCTGGTATTTACGTTTGTTGTACGGCAGCAGCAGCTGGCTTGCACTTCCCACTATTGGTTTCTTGCTGGGGATTCTTTTGTGTGGGGATTAAATGTAGAACCTTGGGCATGGTAAGCCCGCAGCTACAACCTGTAACCAGCCACTGTTGCTGCTTGAATGTAGCAGATAGGAGAATAGAACTCTGCCATGGTTAGCCGGGTAAAAACGATGACCAGATTGCCCCCTTTCTTCTACAGGATACAATCCGAATGATGATTACTCAAGGCAATATGCAGCTAAAGGAATTAGAAAGGACACTCGCTTTAGCAAAGTCTTAACCGGAAGGTTTTCAGATCCCCATACATTTTGTACGGGCTCAAAGCCACTGTCACAAAGGACAAGATGATTATGCCAATCAAGCATGCAAGGCAAGGCGCTGACATTTCCACTACAGTGGCTGCAAGTGACCTAGCGTGAAGATGGGCGCTTGGAACCGTACACTCAGGTGAAAGTAAAACAGCAGCAGCCACTTTGGGAAACAGACTATTAGTTCTTGAAAAGGTAACTAGAGGGCTTGGTGAGATGGCGCCGCGGATAAGGAAGGCTCTTGCTGCCAGGAACATGAGTTTGACCCCTGGACCTACTGGTGGAAGGAGAGAACCACTTCAGAAAGTTGTCTATCCTCTGACCTCCTCACGGTCTCTGCGGCACATAAACAAGAGAGAGAGAATGTGATTATAAATAAATAAATAAATAAATAAATAAATAAAAGGTGACACAGAGTTACCTCATACATCAGCAAGTCTTGACTTTAATCAAGAGAACTGAAGCCATGCCTATAAAAAGTATATACAGAGTTCTTTTTTTGTTTTGTTTTGGACACAGGTTTTTCTCTTTGTAGATCAGGCTGGCCTCGAACTCACAGAGATCCACCTGCCTCTGCCTCCCAAGTGCTGGGATTAAAGGTGTGCACCACCACCTCCAGGCAATGTGTCCAAATGTTACATCAGTTAGAGCCATCTGCAGGTCTCGTGCTTTGAAGGTAAGGGTTACAGTTCAGGGAAGATCCATGTTTTTGTTAGAAACAGGAGAGCTTTGTGTGTTTTTCAGTAAACAGTTTAATGCTCTGTAGAGCATGTGTGGGTTTTGCTGTACCATCTTTAGACTAAGGGTATGGTGTGACCTCCCTACCTCAAGCTGAAAAAACAAAACAAAGACAAAAATAGAACTGGCAGGGTACTGATTCTAGGAGATGCTCCACCACAGTGTCTCAACCTGAATGACTCTTGCATGGGGTCACATACCAGAAACTTCCATTACGATTCATAACTAGCAAAATTACAGTCATGAAGTAGCAACTGAACAATTTTGTGGTTGGGGTCCCACAGCATGTATCAGGGGCTTTGCTCTTCAGGTGTGCTACGGTTTATGGCCGGAGCTTTGTTGGAAATGAAAGGGATGAGAACACTGAAAAGCAAAAAGAGGAGGAAGACTGGGCAGTTCAACTCCTGCGCCTAACATCCTCATGGACACCGAGCCATCAAGGCAGAGTCTTGGTCCACTGCGCTCTCCTTCAAAAATGGGAGAAAGAAATACATCACAAAGTTGACATCAGGGCCCTTGAGATAAAATTCATACACAATTGAGTGGAAGTGGAAACTTGTTGAGGATTCTGAAGCTATCCTGTAGGCAGTCTGTGTCCTGTCAACATCACAGATTCCAGGCTGGGAACCTAACTTGTACTGGGTGCCTGGAAAGATGGTGCAAAATGTGCTTGACCTGTGTGGCCTGAGCACAGCGCCACCTCCTGGAGCCTTGGGGTCCCACACACAGTTCTGCTTGCTAAGTGAGCTAACTCCATGCTTTTCTAAGCCAATAAATATACAGCCTGTGCTGTATATTGCTAGCAAGCATTTGTGAACAATTTGGGTTTTTGTTTTTGAAACCAGGTCTCCTGTTTTAATCCTCCATCCTCCACCTACCAAGTGCCAGGATTGCGGATGTGTTTCTGTGAACATTGTTGAAAAGAGAGGACTTGGAATGGTCCCCTCATGTGGTCTGCTTGACATTCAAATTCAAATACAGACTCTGAGGAGGTCTAATATCTTGGAACTAAACAGCAGTCATGAGATGTGGATGCTAATGATGATCCAACAGTGGCGTACAGGGAATTCTTTAAAAGCGTATACAGCTGCCAATCACCCTAAGGCAAGCTGGGGTTCGATTTTGTTTCTCTGAACTTACTATGTAGCTCTGGCTGCCATAAACTCAGAGATCTACCTGCCTCTGCCAAGTGCCGGGCATGTGCTACCACACCCTGCGTAATTATTTTTAGAGCAGATAAAACACTTTGGGTGAAATTATTTTCAGAGGGAAAGGTTAGTGCAGTACCCAGATGTGCCTTCATCTCCAAGGGACAGTTCTAATTGGCTCACTCGGGTGCTTTGATTAGCCCCTTTCTGGCTTATAGGCCAAGTCTTGCTTGGCTCCTTCGTGTGTGTGTGTGTGTGTGTGTGTGTGATTATTTATTTTATGTGCATTGATGTTTTGCCTGCATGTGTGTCTGTGTGAGTGTGTGGATCCCTTAGAGCTATAATTACAGACAGTTGTGAGCTGCCATGTCGGTGCTAGGAATTGACCCTGGGTCATGAGAAGGGTCTTTCAGCAGTGTTTTCCTTGGGTGCAGGACCACAGTTGAGACGTTGGCCAGATAGAGATGCTGGTAAAGTTTTACTCGTCCTGAATTCAGTTTATTTGGACTCAGGATTGTACAGCCTATCGACCGTTATCTGTTTGAATGTCAGACTCATACTTGTTCCTAGAACTTAAGATGTTTTAACAATTGGCTTTATGCATGTGAATCAACAACAATCCACCTCTAATCCAGTACCTTGAGTTCTAGGCCAGCCAGATCTGCATAGTTGAAACCCTGTCTCACAAGAGAGAAATTAACAAACAGGAGAAAGATTTCCCACAAAAGCTTTGTGTAACACATAAGCGGCTGAAGCCACAACAGTTTGCCCTGCTTCACCTGCCTCCTCTAAAGGGGCGGTCGGGTTGCACCTTTCAGACTCAGCACAGCAAGCATTGCCGTGGATGTGCCCGGACATCAGTCCGTGGAAACCGAGGACAGCATGAGCATCAGTTACACCAGCAGTGCCTTGGGAGACACGGGCCAGCAGAACTAAGGAAAAGGCCTTCCGAACGGAAGTAGCCTACACGTGCCTTGGAAAAGGATTATATAGAATCAGGCTCACATTTAAAAACAAAAGTCATCCTAATAAATCACAGATCACAGGATTTAGGATTTTGAGAAATTATATTCTCATTAGATTTAGATTTTTAGGGAGTTGGAGAGATGGCTCAACAGTTAAGAGCATACGACCCTTGAAGAGGACCTGAGTTCAGATCCCAGTACCCACATGGGGTGGCTTTGACTGCCTGTTACTCCAGCTGCAGGGGACCCAGAGCTAAGCAAGTACCTGTACTCACATTCATGTGCCCACCCCCAACACACAAGATTAAGCCTTTTTTATTACCATTTGCATTTACTGAAAATCAATTTGTTCTTGTATTTTTTAAAAGTGCTATCCTGTCCTGTACCTTGTGGTATTAATATGCTTGCATTAACAACATTAAAGGATGCAAGACACCTGCAGTTGACTTTAGATGCATTTGCTCTAAGTCAGCAAAATGACCGGGTGCAGGCTGTCTTTCAGGAACTCTTGAGTGCCGTCAGCAGAACAAATGGCCATAAATAAGGAACAGAGAACCAACAGAACTGAAAACAATGTTTAATGCTTGCAGGAAACACAAGTTCAAGGTGAGAAAAACATGAGACAACATGCCTTTCACCAAAAATAAAATTTAAAAAAAGACACGTGAAAAGCCTGTTTTGAACTTCCCAAGTCAAAAACGACGCGAGGACTCACACATCCACCACAGATATTTAGTATACAGTGTACTGGATGTGCTAACTCTTTTTTTTTTTTTAAAGGACATGAATAATGTACAACTTTACTTTTTCCACAGCTGTTGACACTTTAGGCCTCTGAAGCATGACCTACATGAGAATACATGATATAAACAGTGATTTGTCAAGGTACGGCTGGGGTGCTTGTTTCTTTTAGCACATAGCACAGGGGACAATGCACAGCAGATCCGCAGTGCTTCACAACGCTAAGGAACAACGGCGACAAACCTAACCCTGGTGTTACAGACAAAACATGATCGGCTATGGGGCTCACTCCTTTAACCCCAGACTTAAGGAGGCTGCCACAGGAAGATCATGAGTTCAAAGCCAGCCTAGGGGTACACAGTCAACCAACAACAAACACCCACCACTAAGCAGTCAGCCCTGTGGGTAAGGGGCTGACTGCCCTTACCAATAGCCTGGTCTCTATGCTTAATGACTTGACAAAATATCCAGTTCACAGTGATAAGCTGCCTGCTTCTGACGGGTAGGAGGTATATCATCAAAGTACAGCCACCAAGATTCTCTGTGGTAGAGATTTGGTGTCCAATTACAGTTGTTCTCTGCAGTTCAACAGGGATGTCTTGAGGTAATAAGTATTCTAATGGTGAAAACAACTCCTGCCTGGAGCATGACTCTGAGCTCAGGACTTCATCTCTTTCAGTACTAGGCAGTTCCTAATAGTTTGGTGTATAGTAAGGGACGACCCTACCGGAGTGAGTGACATCTTGTTGGGCAGGGCTCGGGCATGTGAGCCGAAGGAGACTGGGAAAGGGTTGCACCTCCCGAGTCACATGAACCAGGACTCACTGGGCTGTACGCAGAATACCTGTCACGTTTACAGGAATGTCTATATTCATGGATTGTCACTAGAAGGAAAAAAAAACTTGGCTTGACAGAGGGCTAGCTACACGATTCCTGAAATATCCCTTCTCTTTGGCTCAATGAACAGCATTTTAGTCACGATTCATGGTCAGTAGTTTTTAGGTTTTAGGCTTAGAGAAACAACTGAATTTTCTGTACATATGTGGAGACTGATATAATCAATGATCCAAAAGATTACAAGAGAAATCCAGGGTCTCGACCGAGATAACTTCACTTCCTCAGTCTCTGGTACTTTTCATTCAGTAAACAAGAAAAGCCTTCTGATGTCGAGTTAGTCAATTTTTTACCTTGATGTTCTTCAGTGAGAGAAGTCAATTCGAAATTAAATTTCCGTGAAATTGCTTTAATTGTTTACAAAATACAGAACAAAAGTCTTGTATTCAGAAAGGTCGTCTAAGGAACCGGCTGGGGTTGTTTCATGAATGTTTTTCCCGACAGTCTCAGTTATTTTGACTAAAAACACAGTATCTGACCAATGGTTTAAACTTTTCTCATTTGACAGACATTTTCAGTCGGCGATTACTCCTTATATTTACATGACCTTTAAAATTATCTTAGGACAAACCGGACACTGAGATCATTAAAATGTATTTCCTCTCAAAATATGAAAGATTTTCACCCAATTAAAAGATGAGCATTTTGAGAGTTACAGGGGAGAAAGAAGGCTTCCCGCATCTGAGGCTGGCTCTGCTGGGACCGGCTAGGCACAGCTGCATCTGAGTCTGGCT